TCTGAGGAGTTCTTCTGCCAAGGTGACCAAAGGAAAGACGCTGTCCTCGGAGCTCCTCCGTCAGTTGGAATCTGAACCCCTTTCCCTTTTTTACTTCCTGAGAACTTCCAGTGTTGTCATCCAACATGCTATGTATTGCTTTATTCTGATGTAGGCTTTATCTCCACTTCATCTACATGTCTTTGCTTCAAGGGCAGAGGACTGCTTGCTGTCCTTGCTCTCTCACTAGATCATACAGACAGTGCTTGAAGCAGTGATGACCTTCTTGCCAAATAGCCAGAATAAATGATGTGGAAGCTGTTAGGCTTACTTACAGCAGTAGCTCTGTCTGCACCTGCATAAACTCCAGGACACGTTTACAAACAGTGTTTGTTGTTGTTTGCGCTGCAGCTGCAGGTTTGAACTCTGCAAAATGTCCTGTGATTGGGGATTTTTTGTTTTTGTTTTTGTTTCTAGAGTTAACATTTTGGATATGGTCTCTTTTTATGAAAAATACAAGAGTAAAAGTGCTTTTAACATGTGCTTCAAAGCTAAGTTTGACTGGGAACCTCAAAGCTCAATAGCCTGCATCCACAGAAATTCACTGCAGCCTATGTAGTATTTTATGCGTCATTATTTATTCCAGTCCATCTTGCAAATACAGGTTTGTGCTGCAATGTCATGCACAAACACAAACTATTAGATCCTTAAGATCAAACCTATGTCAAAATTGTTTCATTATTTTGGTCCATTGGAGTGTGGTAGGCCATCAAAGGCTGCTACTAGAAACTCGGAATATTACATGAAATCGCTTGCTTGGCCAAAAATGGGTAAATGATGTAATTTGGTAAAAAACATTGAAAACTACAATTTTCATGTGTTGACTTTAGAATGAAAGCAATTTTACCTAAATTGCATGATATAGTACTGTCAATGACAAGGAATCAAAAAAGGTGGTTATAATGGGTTTCAATTGGCCAAAAATGGTATAGTGTATATTATTGACATTATTAAGGAGCTGATGTTGAAAATTAAAAAATTAAAAAGATTAAAAAAGCTGAAAAAAATACACACCTTTGGGAAGTTTCATTCCATTTGCATTAACAGAACGAAAATGGTTGAAAAAAGAAAAGTGAAGTGGCCACAAATGGCCAGGATAGAGCCTGGAGGGTTAAGGCTGCAGACCCTGAATTGGGATACAGCCAGAGAGTGACGGAATACTAGAAAGCACAGGGGCGGTCGGAGGGAAGACGAGCCCTGTGTGGATGCTCTTCAAGACCTCCAGCTGGGGCCTGAGAACCCCAGGGCCCGAACCTGGAACCCAGGATCAGACTGAGAAGAGGAAGCGTAGCTCACCAAGCCGCACATCGGGGACCCCGCTAGCCATGCAACCTACAACATGCGGGCAATACGCCAGACAGGGAGCTAGTGCTGCAGGCCAGAGAAGACTCACCCGCTGGCTGACGTATCAGACACAGCGAGTTCCGACTGGTGCGTAAACCTGCGAACCGCAGGCAATATGCCAGGGGCACACAGCCTGCAGGAGCAGAGACCAGTGAGACCTATTCCAGACTGCTGGGCACTGTGGTGGCTGTGATCAAGAAGGAAAAAAATGTAAGTAAATAAATGAATGAATTTACTTGGAAAATTCAACTGAAGTTATAAGCAAGTGAATAAATTTTATTTTATTTTTTAAGTATATTGATGACATTTGTCATCAAATATTAGTGCAGAACAGGGTGAATCTTGGATTTGAATTTTGACTTTGTGATATTATTTGAATTTGATGTTTTTCAGCAGCAAAAGAATAAGAAGACTGACAAACAGGTGGAGGAAGAGAATGCCACAGAGGAGGCTCATCAGCCTCATATCAAAGACAGCTCCCATCCCATTTAAAAGGAATAAAAGTCTCATTTCATCAACTAGACTTTCGCCTTTGCTTCAGACATGAACATCAGACCATTTTCTCTGAATCCTCTGTGACTAAATGTCTCTGGATTTCTTCATTTGTGTGTGAGCGGTTTGTTCTTTAAAACTCCTCCACGATTACAGCAAGTGATGATCAAAGGTAAATATCCATCCATCCATTTTCTTTCACTTAGCCTTATCAGAGTTGTGAGGGGGGCTGAAGGCAATCCCAGCTACTAATGTAAATATATTTTAATGTATCCAAAGCTACAGCTCACACTCAAAATCAGATAAAACTTTCAACACTTTTCACGATATTATTCAGTTTATAAAACAGGAAAAATAAGATAGAAAATAAAAACATAGAACACAATTTATTGTAACAACTTTTTATTATTTTTATTTAGTATTTTCCAGTGAAGGAAGCTGCAGATAATGGTTGTTAGTGCTACGTTAACCTGACACCTCGAGTTACAGGATACCTTTGCATTTCACTAAGAAAACGCTTCCTCTGCTTACAAAAGACAAACATCAAATAATTAACTTTTTCTTTAGAGTGTAAATCTAATAAGCGGCAGCCAAGAAGGTGCTTAAGGAGAATAACATCGCTTCCAGTCAACTTTCCCGGCCAGGCTGAGAGTGTACTGCAATGATGGAGCAGTGACGCAAGAAGCGACTACGGATATGGTGAAGAGAGGATTATCGGTAGACGTTGTGAAAGACGGGGCTACACTCTTGGATCAAATAAAACAGTGCGAACTAGTGCGAAGAAGAAACTGGGAAACACGTTTTTAAAAGCAGAGCTTCAAGGAGCGTCTCCAGGCATTTAGGCACCGGGATGGCTGTGGGTAAATAGGCTGCTGCATAGTGAGCTGGACTCTACAGACCACTCTGCTTTTGGCCTCTGGGCCGAAGAGGGTACTCTTCCGCAAGTTGAGTGAGGAGCTTTTCCCTCACCAACTACAGCTAATATAGCGTTTATGCTTTTGGAAGTCAGCATGATTGCATGTCTTTGTTGTATTTGCTACACATGTTATCCCCCCCGGTGTACTTTTTGATTTCTTGGTATGTACAGAGGTTAAAATCGTATAATGTTGTACAATCCTGTCTCATAAGTAGGGCTGCTACAAACTATTATTTTGATAATCAACTAGTCACCGATTATTTTTGCGGTTAGTCGAGTAATCAGATCATGCATCCATTGGCCATAAAACGTGCAGCTTTTTGCATCAGCATGCATCTGCACTTATTAACTATCATTAGCTTACAGCTTGAAGTGTTTAAGGTGTGTGCTAACTAAAAAATAAAGACAAGATAGTTTATTAAACTTTTAATGAAATTTGCAGATTGTCTCAGTAAACTCAGCCGTCTGCTCCTTGCTATCTACAACATAACAGGACATTGGAGTAAATTCTCGAGCATCTCACACTTCTGTTTAATCCGTTTTCTGTTTGATGTTTATTCAGCTGTGTAAAAACTATAACTTTAATCTCAGCCAAACCGATTTACTGAGGAACAAATAAAACACTGAAAAAAGCCAAATAATAACACTTAAGTTATCTGAGTGACTTATATATCATGATTAACCCGAGTAACGAAAGACCGCACTGGGTTTAAAAACTATTTGCCGGGAGTCCGGTGTTCCCCCCGGCTCTAGTGACTGTAATGTAAACAGCCTACAAGGATGCTGGCCCTGAATTTGGACAAAGCTATGATACTGGAGACAACTTCTTCTTCTTTGGCGTTTAACGGCAGCTGGCATCCTTGTAGATGCATTGCTGCCATCTTCTGTTTCAGTCTGTTATTACACTCTTAAATCCTAATTCTTGCGCCTCATCTTACAAAGCTTCAAATGACTTGCCGACTATTAAATTTGTTGTCGACGATTTTAATAGTCGACTAATCGTGGCAGCCCTACTCGTAAGTTAACTAAAGTAGTATCATATAATGTAAATGGATTAGGGAATCATTTTGAAAGAAGTAAAATTATGTCAAAATTAAAAAGAGAAGGAATAGAAGTTTCCCTTCCACAGGAATCTCACATACCACAGTTTGGGCATGAAAAACTTAGGAAATGGAAATTTAATCAGTATTCATCTTCTTGTACTCAGGTTTTCAAAGGAGGTGTTGTAATTCTAATATTAAGTAGGCTGAATTTTGAATGCATTCAAGAAATAAGATATAAGGAGGTGAGGTTTGTGCTAGTAAACAAACTTCCCCTTGGAGGGATACTTGGAGGGTATACTGACTACTCTTATTAGTATATTTGTGTTTTTGGTCAATTCTAAATAATAAAAAATGGAGTGTAAAATCACAGCATCAGTCAGTTCAGAACATTTCAGAGTAATCAGAGGATCATAGTCTGAATGATGTTCTGTCACATGACCTAAGGAGCATCTGCATGCCCATAACAAAACCATCCACTGTGACGAGAGCACGGAGCGAAGCGGACACGTTGACCAGCCTTACAGTTTTTCTTCATCACTCCATCCATAACAGAGAGAAAAGTCATTCTCACCGCTTTTGATGCAGTTCTTAAATCAGTTTGAGCATTTCCTCACAAACATTAGACTGTCTCATTGTTTTTATACACACTGCTTTTGTTTAGATCCATACTCGTGGTATTTGTTGCTGTTTGTTGTTTGTTAATGCACTTCTCACTTGAATCTGACTTTTTTCAGTCACGGCTCTAGATCTCTCACTTCTCAGATTACTTTTTTCAGTCTTTCAATTTAATGTTTTCAGCAAGTTTGTTTGTGTGAAATATTGCCCCAGTTTCATGTTGTTAGCTGACAGGTGTGGCCCCCAGTTTCTCGCCTGTAACTGTAGCCCATCATCATCATCATCAAGGTCAGACATTTTTGCGCAACTTTTCCAAAGTAAGGAAGATTGAGAAAAAAAACCTGATGATTTCTTTAAAGGGATGCAAAAGGTTTTTGCACAAATGATTCAGATCAAAAGACTAAACTTTGCTCTACAAGGGTGTGATGTCCACTTACGAGGACATTATGCCACTGCTCTATTGAAATTTAAAACGAATGTCCTCATGTGGATCTCATTTTTCTCTGAAACAAAAATCAGGTTAAAAAAAACAAACAAAAAAAACATCTGGTAACTTTTTTAAATAGTTTTTAAATATGCATCAGGTCCCAATCAGCCCAAATATCAAAGAGAAATTAAAAATGCATGCATGGAAGAGTTCGGTCCTTAGGAGGTTAATGTCAGAATGAGCCAACTGTGGTTTATCTGCAGACAGAAAAAAAAGACATACAAACGGTTTTGCTTCAAACTGGCTGAGGAGGTTTTAGTTTTATAAAGATCGCCAAAGCAGCAATCACAGCAAAGAGTGACAAAGCCGCCACCAGTCCAGCATGTCCTCTGCTGACTCCTGTGTGACCTGCAGGTGAGAAACAGGTGTGAGGTGTCAGCTGTCAGGTAGGTGATGAGTGAAGAACAGAACAGAATCCATTTCCTCTTCAAACTGCTGTCAGACATTATCTACTGCACTCTGATCACATCACTCAGACCAGCTGCTTTCTACAAAGTCTCATCAACAACATCTTTAGAAACAAACATCAACAACCAGGAAGCAGCTTCACCTCTGATCACACACACACTCAACTCTACTCACTCACCTGGAGGATCAACAACACTCAGGTAGATGACACTGATAGGGTCAGTCTCCAGATGAGCTCTCTTCCTGCGGTTTGTTCTTCTCCTGAAGACACGACACTCGTATGTTCCTCTATCAGCAGTCGTGACACCCTTCAGAATCAAAGACACGTCTCCATCCTTCATCTCTCTGTCCTGCAGATCCACCCGGTTCTTAAAAGATGGATGCTGCTCTTCTGGATCAGGCTGCTCATCCCGATACAAAAGAACATAATCTTTTCCAAGGTCAGCTCTGCTCCACTCTACAACTGCCTTGGAATTGCTGTCGATGTTTGGAGCTCGACATGGCAGAATGACGTTCTGTCCAGCTGTGATGTTTATCTGAACTGAAAGAGGAAATAGAGCGGTCAAAAACAAAGTGCAATCATTCATTTCTGCAGCATTGATCACCACGAAGAGCTACAAATACAGATTTCTCCCCCTGAACACTTTCCTCTTACTCCCACTAGAGATGCAAACCAAGGAGCTCAGGAAGAAAAACAAGGCGACAGGAGTGATGGGATGGCCAGCTGAGGCTTTTTGTACTTATGCCAGAATTATAATAAAGTTTCACATAAATCTCAAATCCACCTCCACAGTGACAAATACTTTTGTCATAGCCACATGTTGATAACGCCACTCTGAAACAACGAGGCGCAAAATTGTTGGACGATTCTAAACAAGGTTATTTTCTTATATACTCAACTATCAAAAATTAGGATCAACACATGTTTTAGAGAAATCCCTGTACAATCTGTACCAACTCTGTTTGCCAGATGTCACTTTGTCTACTCACTAGAGAAGATCGTGCACCATCATACAGGAACGACTTCCTGTGGACACAACAGGATGTTTGCTGAGATCTAAAAACAGCAACTGCAGTGAAAACAATCCAGAGTTTAATGACCATTAATGTGAGATCAGCTGAACTGAAATCACTGATACTTACAGATATATACCATTTTCATAAATATCTCTATTTTTTTAATATATATATATATATATATATATATATATATATATATAAAAAAAACACCCAGCACGCCCCTGAGGGCGGTTTATCCTTCAAGCTCGGGTCCTCTACCAGAGGCCTGGGAGCTTGAGGGTCCTGCGCAGTATCTTAGCTGTTCCCAGGACTGCGCTCTTCTGGACAGAGATCTCCGATGTTGTTCCCGGGATCTGCTGGAGCCACTCGCCTAGCTTGGGAGTCACCGCACCTAGTGCTCCGATTACCACGGGGACCACCGTTACCTTCACCGAGCTCTTCTCTGGTATTTCTCCAGCTTCTCGTGTTCCTTCTTCCTGATATTGCTGTCATGCTACATCGATCACTACGGCCGTCTTCGTAGGTATAGTAGGTAGTGCTGCATTAACATCATCTAGCGGACCTTCTGAGGGTACTTCACGTAATCTTGGTAACCGGCTACGGGGGATCCAGGTTTCAAGCTTGGCCATGATCCTATTTTTCAGGTCAGTTCCTCTCGCACTCAACGATCCTTCTCCTATCGCACTTGGGGCTATGTACCCAATCTCGGGTGGGGGTGATGATATCTCCCCCCTGACCTGGCGTCCTGACTCCTCCTTGCCGTAGCATTTGTGTTGTACCTCATCAATCTCTAGCTGTGAGAGCAGTCCCTTCTTTCGAATGTTGGAACACTGAGCTACTAGTTGTTTCGCCGTCATTGTGGATGTTGGGTATCGAAGAATCCATAGGTCCCTCATCCTATTCATGTAGCCCCTTCCGCCGGGGTTACTTGCGTAGTAGCATTCCAACAACACCCTGTTCTCGTCTCTTGCCCACCGATGCCTTCTTGTTCTAGTAGCCCACTTTTCAACTTTCCTCAACCTTGTTAATCCGGGCGACGTCCGAGCCGGCATGCCTTCATATTTATCTGTCTCGCTCATGTCTGCGGTAGGCTTACTTAGCATAGGAGGTCTAGCCTTAGGACCTTTACTGGATACAGACGCCCCAGGCAGGAATCGAACTTGCGATCCTCTGTTTCAAAAGGCGTGTAGTCTAACCGCTATCCAGGTGCTCATGTGAGACGGACAGTAGCTAACGTTAGCCTCTGCAGTACGTTTATTCGACTTATATCTATCTATATATCTCTATCTATCTATCTATCTATCTATCTATCTATCTATCTATCTATCTCTATATAGATATAGATATATACATATTAACATTCTATTATTCATGCCATGATTTATCTTAGTCTAATGGAGGAAGAGGTAGCAGGAAGGTTGCTGATTGGCTGTAGTTGATCCAAAGGCAACAGAAATGTTGAGAATATTTCTTTTTTTGTTTTTTTAACTTTAAAACATCGTTAACAGTCAGCAGAGGTCGCAGCTGCTGGCATTGAGCTGGTTGTCAGAAAAGTAATGAAAATATCTGCAAGGATTTGGTTAATAAGTACTGACTAGCATCATTGTGGTCAAGATTCACATCAGCTTTAGCTGCTAACAGAAGCAGAAAAAAGCCCACCATTCAGCTGGGTCAGGTCACACTGACTGCACACAGCACTTACTTTCTTTCCCAAACTGCGATATGCTTATTAAGTAATGACCTTTTCAAAACAAAAGCTGCAATAGTGCTTCACATTAAAAGTGTAACACAAACAGCGGAACTAAGAAATAATACAATAACGTCACAGAAACAAGTGGAGCCTATCCAAAGAGGGCAGAGCAGGTCACAGTGTCACTGCCTGAAAAATGAAGCCTAAGTTTCTCCTGACTGGTTCTTGGTCCCTTGTGCCAGCACATGGACTTGTGAAATGCACTCAGCTGGTTTCACCGTGCAAAAACTGATAAGCAATAAGAGCTCAGAGCAGTGTAGCTGCTTGACTGAGTATTTTGAGCTCTCTCTCTCGGCCAATAATAACTGCTGCATGCTTTGCCTTTGTTTGAGCTCAGTGAGGCAGACGCACAACTACAGCTGTTTGTCAGCATGAAAATAAACATGCAAAGACAACTCACAAACCATAGCATGCAAAAAAAAAAAAAAAGACCAATAAAAATAACTGCGAGGAAGTCCGTATCGAACATGTCAACACCCACCAAAACAGGAAGCGTCTCATTTGATCAAAATATTAACACATCAGATAGAAAACAAGCACAGTGCCTCTGTACAAACATGTAATGAAGATTTTATGAGTCAAACTAAAGTCTGAGCTAATGTCTTATTTAATTAATCATATTTATTTTCTGTATAAAGACTCATGCCTCAAACCAAAGGGAAAACATTTAAAATCTTCTGCAGTGTTTTTAAGTTTCCAGTTACACAAAAACAAAACTCTCCTTCACCAAACAAGGATTGATAAAACTGCCTCCAGAGACTCATCTGAGCTGGAATGAAATGGCACACTTCAGATATCCATAGCACTCTTTCATAAACACTCGTGCTGTAAACATGGTGCAGAGCTTCAGCAGTAAGCTGAGCCTCTGCAGACTCACCAGACTCTGTGACTGTGAGGTTGATGGAGTGCTGGAACTCTTTGACGACTCTCTCGCCATTTCTGGTGCTGCTGGTTGTAATCTGACAATCGTATGTTCCTGTATCGCTGATGCTGACGTTTCTCAGAATCACAGTAACATCTCCGTCTTTCATGGATGAGTCTCTCAGCTGCACTCGGCCTTTGAAGGACTCGTGCTGGTAGTTCTCGTACGAGCGCTGGTCTTGGAAGAAGAACACATAACCCTGTGAGCTGAGCTCCGGTCTGCTCCACTCCAGCAGGGTGATGTGTGCATCTCTGGGACCCCAACACTGAAGAGTGGCAGCTTGTCCAGGCCTCACACAAACCTCTGTATGAATGAAAAACAAAGAGGAGAAAAAACCCAAACATTAATAGCATGTTATACTGCACGTGTTGGAAATCTGTGGACAGCGAGGAAGTACTGAGCAGAGGAAGTCTAAAACACATCAGTGGATTACTCAAAGTAATGGATACCTGCAGCTCTCCGACATGATACTCATGTCTCTATAAACGAACGTGCATTTTACTCTGAACTGTTCTTCAGTTATGAGTGTTGCAACAAACCCCAGCAGTGAATCTGCACTGACAAACCTCAAGACCAGAGAGGAATCCTCGTCACAACCTGCTGCAAGTGTGTTTGTCAGTAATTAAACTCTGACGTTAAGCAGAGGCTTTTACTGCAAAGCAGGAGAAATGTACATGTAAATGTACACCGTGTTGTTAATAATGAGTTCATTCCTTTAATGTTGCAGCTGGAGAAAATGTACTCACTTGCATACTGCTTGGTAGCTTAAAGTATAATGACATACATTAGATTTATTTTTTAAAACCTGCACAATTTTAAATGGACATTTTAAAATAAACGATATCGAGAACAAATTACATCTAATACAGAGTGGAGTAGTTTGGAAAACTGTAAAATATAGAAACACTTTAGTAAATTTGCAATACTGTCACTGTGTTCATCAAGATTTGCAGTGTCACACGCCACTAGTTTGTGTTTTTGGCTTAGATGTTGTTTAAGAAATCCTGACACAGCCAAACAGGGCCGCCACTGCCTGGCACCATGTTAGTATCACATCCATTCTTTTTGTTGCCACATTCCTTCTGAACTCGCTCACATTTTCTTCCATCTACGGTATCAGACGAGCTGCAGCAGCTGTTTGCATTCCCGGAAGCGTGAAAATGCTGCAGTGCGTAGTTTCACTGTTTACATCCTTGATGGATGAGTCATTTTTTTTGGCAGCCTGTCAGTTCATGTTACCTCAAAACACAAGACACTCACCTTTCAACGCAGAAGCCACCAACATCGGGAGGGAGAAGAAAACTACAAGCGACGACATTTCTGCAGGTCGCCCAACGGTCGGCCTGCTGTTTGGTAGTGGTGGGCGGATCGATCCAAATATAGATGGCACATACAACCCCAGTACTGGTAGCGAATCTATACTAATGTGACAGGATCAGTGGTTTACTTTGCTCTGTAAACTCTGTAAGGACATGTATCTCTGCAGGGATTTCCTTCCTCCAGTTGTTGTTTTCCTAATGTCACGTGACTCAGTGAGGACGGGCGAGAGGAGGAAGGAAATCCCTCACAAAGACCCCCCAGCAAAAAAGTACAGAATAACCGGGCAGCTTATGTAGTTTTTATTTTCCTTCTTTACCTCACTCTGTAACTAAATTTAATATAGTCTGTGACTACAACACAAGCACATAGGCCAATTTTGGTAGCGTCTGTTTCAACATCTGCCTGTCCCCACCCTCTTTGTCAGGGTGGGGACAGGCAGAGGATCTAAAGATCGAAGTTCAAAATAATTTAAAATCAGGACACAGACCCTGGTGCGAGTAATCCTCGCTGGCTTTTAAAATGACCGCAGCAGTTATAATAAGCAGCGATCCTGCTGAACCCTTATCAGTCAGGATTAAATGAGCTGCAGGACCTCTGAGTTAGACTGACTCGGTGTGAGCTTGGTGATCCTAACATACTGGACGCTGAGTGTAAATCTGCTATACTTCAGGTGATGCTGTTTGTTTGTGTAGCAGTACTCTGATCATAACGCTCTCACATGCTTATCATTTGCTGCTCGTTGCTCTTCTACAGTGACAGCTGCACATTACAGCTCCGAGACTTAAAACTGCATGCACTGTTTGTTCGTTTATTGCTCCACCAAGTGAATACACGTAGAGCCCTGCACACAGTGTAACTTCAGTACTTCCTTTTTTCTCAACTGTGGGCAGGCTGCGCGTACAAATATATAAAAGAAACAGCGAAGCTCAACTGACTTGAAACCAAAGCTGGTCACTGACGCCCTCTGCTGCTGCTGATCGGTTCTTAAAGCCAGGGGTGCAGTTTTTACCCAACGGATAAAATGTTGACTGACACTACACGATTTAAACTATGAGATACCAGCATGAGATGGTCACATGAATATAAGGAAAGGTCGCTATTATATCTGAAACTGTGTTCCCAGAGTCAAGAAGTTCACTTTACGCGCACAAGCCGACTGTAATTCAGCTTCATTACCGCGAGAAGAAGCAGCTGAGCTGATACAGCACATCTCCCACAGTTTAAAGTGGAGAGAAACATCACGCAGTTCACAGCAGCCACATGAAAAGCGCAACACGTTAACCCTCCCTCACAAAATGAAGCCGCTGCTTCTTCAAATCGACGTCCGTCCACTACCAGAGGAAGCACGGAATAGAGCCCACAGCGTCACCAAGGTCATCCACAGACACGTGTAGAGCATGTGTGATGGTAAAGGATGAAGGCTGTTATAAGAAGTTGGAGCAGATACAAATGCCAGGAAGTCAACGTGGGATTTTCGGGGATTTGGCGTTGGTGCCATTGCGCTGAATAAAGAAATAAAAACTCACCTGTTCATTGTTTTTGGGCTTCAGGTGTAAGTTCTCCGCTCCGTTCTCACACCACTGTCGAGTTTATCTCCCGCTGTCCCGAGGTGGAGCTGAACTTTCCCCTTGTCGACCGGCTCGCCTTGGAGCCAGATCACACCAGCGCCAGCATGCCACACCATCTTCAGGTAGCCCGGTCAGGCGCCTCCGCAACCAGATAAGAAACTCCGAAGAAGGAAAACAACAAAAGAACAAATCCGTTCAGTTTAAAAAACAAAAAACAGAAGCTGTGATCCAAGACTAGAACGTCCTCCGAGAGACCGTTTTCACCAGGTTGCAGAGGAGTACCAACCTGCTCAGACCGGTAGCAGCAGCCTACAGCGGAAGATCCGCTGTAGCCCCTCCAGCATCGACGACGATGGCACTTATAGATACACGTTATCTAGCCTCTGTCTCATGTATGAAATATTTTGACTTGTATTTTTATTTTTAAAGCCTACAGTGGCTGTTTTACTGCTGTATGTGTATGTTTTAATGACACCCAGCATACGACCCACGGTAAAGTTTGAACAATGAGAATCTGTCGTTTACAGGATGCGGGGATTTTCCTCTTTTTTTTTAAACATCAGCACTTTTGCTTCACGCGTGACTCCGCTTACTATCATGTACTGAGTGAAGGAGCACGTAGCAGCGATGCATTTATACAGTTTATATTTTGCATATTACTGACAGACGGAGGAAGAAAGTAGTTCCTACCAATCGTTTAGACACTTTCCACTGTGTCCCGTAAATCATAAACTAACAATTTACCCCAACGTTACTAAAACATCGATATTTTAATATGAGAATCAGACCTAGAACATAAATATCTCTTAGAATCGATATTTCAGTATTGATCCACACAACAGCTGCACAACACCCTTTAACAGCACCAAGGCTGTAGCTGAGAGGATAGAAAAGAAAATTTTCAATTTATTTATACAGCGCCAATTCACAACAGACACCTCAAGGCACTTCATATTGTAAGGTAGACCATACAAAAACCCAAAAATCCTATAACCCCCTATGGGCAAGCACTGTGGCAACAGTGGGAAGGAAAAACTGCCTTTTAACATGAAGAAACCCCCTGGCAGATTCAGTGTTATGAAGGAAGGAAGGCTCAGAGTTTAAGTAGTCATCATCATGGGCTCATCCGATTAGAATGTGAATAAGCAGTCATCACTCATAGGCTTCTCCTTTTATTCTCAAAATCAATAAGGAAAGACACATGGATTGCCAGCGCTGAAAGAAAACAGATTTAAGTTACTCATTACCTTAAACAACGCATGAAATCAAAAATCCAAACAGAACCTCACCTCCACTGCCGCCCAGTGTGGGAGTGAAGAAAGAGTGAGCCAAAAGTGAATGCAGTCCTTATAAAACACGTGACAGGTGAGTTGTTAGGGATTCAAATATTGGGGATGGAGACAAGAGGAAAAACCACAATAACAACACTGGTCCGGCCGGGTTGAGTCAAACGATGATTTTAATGATCACACGCACTGTAAGACCGAATAGTAATAGTTTGATAAATGAAATGAGTTCCAACTACTTAAAAACCTGTTATAAGTTCATACACCTTTATCTTTTGAGTAGTTTGAACAAGTTTGTTTTTTCAAGTTATCAGTACTTGAATATATTGATTAGTTTCTGGCATTGCCCTCAAATAATTTGAGTTTTAACACTGACGTCACTTACGTGCCTACGTACGTACCTACGTGCGCCACCTGTTTCTTTATGAAGTGCTGGCAACCATCTTGGATTCCTTGCTTCGAGTGCGAATGCCCGCTCATTACTCCGAAAGAAACTTGTGGAACGTTAATATCCGAACAGAAATAAAAACATTTGTCAAGGGGTTTTTTGCGGCATTGCCTTTGACGCTGGATAAAGGAGGGCATGCTATGGTATGTAAGGACTTTTGAACTGGAACAGCTAACGCTCTGCACTTAGCTAGCTGCATTTACCGCCTTTGCAGCATCTTCAGGAGCGCTTTTGTGGTAAGTTTTATTTTTCTGAAACTATAGTTCTCCGTTGTAATATGGGTTTTTATCGTCATAAATGTACAACTCTAGCAGGCATTTAAGAATTACATGCATGCGTCGTTTTATCCATGTTGGCTTGGCCCCAAAGTGTTTTGCATGAATTATGCTAATACGCTCATATTTAGTATAACACATTATTAGTCCGAGCAGAGGCTGGGACTAATAATGTGTTAATAACTTTTCTAATCTCTTACTATTTTAAAAGAAGTCTTTAGAAGGCGTTTCTGGATTTGCAGATTATAAACTGCCTTGTGGTTAAATTGTTGAATCAATATGCACTGCTGCGCTGCTTCACACTTAGCGCATACATGGATATTGATATTGGCTAACCCATTTGCTAACTGGTGGAACTTAAAACTTACGTTTAGTTCTCTGGAGTTGTACATATTAAAACTGGGGCAGCAAAATTGTAGGCACAGGACATACTTACAAAAGCAGTGAATAATCATTACATAATTACGCGGTAGAACTTGGTTTACATTGCAAATAGTTATGTATACCAAGTTGAAATGTAGAATCTTCTGAACTGTAAAATTGTTGTGCCTGGTCTATTTTAGGTTAGCTTAAGGATGAATCCATCAATAATATATTTACCAAACAGTTATTCTTTCGTTTTATTTTATTCTGATGCCCAGTGTTCATTAGTGAAAGACTTAGTTTTTTATCTGTCAGGGGCTGGGTCTGTGACGCAGCATTTTGAGTTTATTTTGTAGTTTTGCTTTCTTATGTTATATTGAAATGAGGTGAAGTTCTTGTATTGTTGTTATTATTAGTTAAGGTTTAGTTGAGTTCTGGGCTAGTTATGTTTCATCTGTGTCTCCTTGGTTGTGTGTCTTTTCTGTTCTCTGTGTAGTCTGTCTTGTCTTCTGTGTTTTACTGTTATGTCCATGCCAGGGCAGAAGTAAATTTTCAGGGGTGAAGATGCTGTTTACCTTGACCAGCTAAGACTACAGATTGTAGATGAAGTCGAGAAAAGTGAAAAGAATCCTGATTACAAAGCTGATGCACACAACTTTGGCCTTGCAATGCAAAGAGATCATCAATGATGACCTACCAGTAGGTCAGATCCTGGATTGCTGGCCTACTCTGAAATCCCAGTCCCAGGTAAGAATGTATATAGATGTATCTAACAAGGTGTATTTTATATCAACTCCTGTTATCTGGCCTGTCTGAACAAATTATGCCTTTGGAGTGTAAGGATTTTGATGTATTTTGCAAAGATTTATAGACTAATTGAAACTTGTAAACACAAATGTATCCTGTGTGTTCAGATCTGTGCAGAATTCCACAGGATTACAAACCTCCACCTGAAGAACCACTTTTATGCTGTGCTGGACCAACATGCTCCCCGGCTCCAGAGCTTATTCAGAAAGAAAGCTGTTTGCACAGGGAACGTGTCTGATGTCCTGTCTCAGCTCTTCAGAAGCTATAATCTCCAGGTTAGTGGGTTTTTGTCTTGTTTTTGAGCTTTATTTAATTTGATCAATTTTTCCAATTTTAATTACCATTCTTGACTAGGTTAGCCAATAATTTAAAATAAAAATTTTCTTGTGATGTAGGAACAAGCTGATATCCATGCCCAAAGTGCTGGTGTGCTTCATGCCCTCTCTGCCTATTTGTACGAAGACACCTCTACCTTCATCAAAACATGGGATGTAAGTTTTGGACAAAGTTGTGAACAATATCTTAGTAGCATCCTTGTTTAGATTTCTCAAAACATTATGACACTTTGAGAGTTTGAGAAGCATCTCCATGCTTGGATCTGTCTACAACAGTGTCCATGTCACATAATGGAAACACTACATGTTTTTAATGTGCGTAGACCTTCTATAATGTTCCTAGCCCAACTATACATCACTGTACAAATGAAAAAAATATATAACTCCTATTGACTTTCTGTTGTTATTGCTACGAAGAGGTATGACTTTGCTTTACTAAAAGTACTATTTTTGTCAGTTTGTTTTTTCAAATCTTTGGTGTGTTGTGGCTTTTTTGTTGTTCAAACAATTGATTTCTGAGCTAGTAATAATCCAGAAATGTGACTTGTATAGATGAAACTAAGAGAAATAGGAATGCACTAACATGTAGTAATTTTGTTTTCTGTAGATGATGCATTCTGATAGACCAGATATTAGTGAAGTGCCACTTGGACGACTCCTGATCAGAGCCAATTCCAGCGATGCAACATTCTTCTGCCCTGAGAAGACTGCAGTTTTGGTCGAGGGTAACATGATCATTGTTTTCACCACCCTGGCTGATGCATTTCTAGTGATATTTGGACTCACCTACGCCCTGCACCTAAGCTACCCAAAATGTTTGGCCAGCATTTTTGACTTCATTCAGAACGTTTTGATGGGTCTGGAGGGTGGGAAGTTGAAGCCCAAAGTGCTGAGTCTTAAAAATGATCTTTTGGCAGCAGAATAATGTCCAGGGTTCCTACACAGCCCTCAAGTGCCTGTTAAAGCAAGTAATTCAGTTTATCATGTTTCCAAGTCTGGATAAGTTTGTTTTTTTTAAAAAGAGAGAATAGAATAAAGAAATCTTTGCAGACTCTGTTTCATACTTCATTATCTTAAAGCCACATACAAAGTAAAAGGGGTGATTTTATTTTATTAATTTATTTTTTCCCCCATCATCACTTGTGTTTTAGTTGATTTTGATTGTGTTTTTAGTCAGATAACTGTAAATCTATAGAGAAAATGAAGGACAATCTCACTACATTTCTGGCTTCTAGGTGGGATCTTGAATGTCACGTAAGGAACGTTCCTCCTGAACTACTCATAACTGACATAAGGCGCTAAGGAGGTTTATAACACTTTGTTTTATGTCTCTGAAGAAGTATTTTTCTATTTAATGTTTTATTGCTTTGTTGTTGAGACTGTGATTGCACTCTACAAATGTGCATTTTGCATAACCACAGTATTGGCATATTAAAAAGGTTACCAATTATATTTCAGTGTATTAGCTGCACTATACTATACTATTACTTTCATTCGGTTTTCCCACCTAATAATGCAGGATTTTCTTTTCCTTTTGTTTGTTTTTTAATAAACAGGCCATACTCATGTGTTAATCAAATTTGAATACTCTTAAAACATGTTGTGAATTTCTTTATTTCTAATATTGTAACCTTGTGCCAAAATTTCCGACATTATTCCCTATAAAATGTGGTGGATTTATGTCTTTGGGCTTTTTGTTAGAAAGGCTATGTGTTAAAGTAACTCAATAAATTTGTAACTTGAATTTATGTTTTCTGTCTTATGTTTTTACAAGTGTAATTATTTTGGGCACTTTTTTTATATCAAATTCAAAACACAGTAGATTTGGATATTACAAGCATTTGTTTTTTAAATTTTTGAGTTGTATTAGCTTAAAATGGTTAACATTTTGAAACTAAAAATTAATTCTTTAAAGTTACTTGAGCTAGATTTGTACTTGAAACTCAAAATATCAAGTAGAGAGTACTAAACCAAAAATGTGGATATAACATAAAAACATTTGTCAATGGTACTTAAAAATATTTATCTAAAGCTAATAAATAAAGTGTGTTTATTTAACTTTTATTTTTAAGTTTTAGTTACTTAAAATATTTTATGTAATCAGTTTCACCAAAAGTTTTGAGTAAAATTAACTTATTGGGTTTTACAGTGGGAGATGGACACCGTACGCAGACAGCATCAGATCTCAAAATGGTGGAGCATTGATCAAACTCTTATAGCCTCTGGTGCCCCCACCTTATCATAAAAGCCTAAACATTCACATGCTTTCTCTCACACAGCGCCTAAGCTACGACCTTGGCTCGCCGTTTATCTGCTCCTGCTGAGATGGGGCAGAAAACTGCAGTATGTTCTGTTTTCTTCTAATCAGACAAATAAGGTGATGACTTTCTGCAAACAGTATTTCTTATAGCTCAGCAGTATAATGCATCATGAAACAATATCATGCATCCACAATAAATCAGCAGTCTAATGTAATGCAAACCAGTTTAACAAATGCAATAGTTATTACCTTCTTCTAATTCAGGAGAATAATGCAAACTAGAACTACATAATAATTCACAACCTTTAATTAGGGGTCTAACATGGCAATTAAGGACAAGCACCACACCCAATCAAAGGTGAGAGAACTAAACAAGGTGCATCTGGTGAAGTGAGTGGATGTGCTAGGATGTGCTAAAAGGTGGGTCTTTACAACAACCAGGATCGGGAATAGGGTCAGGACAGGATAAAAGACAAGCTGTAAAGGTCTTCTATCTTTCAGAAGACAAAGGAAATTTGGGAAGGTTTAAACATATAAATTACATAACATAATAAGAAGATGGATGGATGTTTATATCAGGGTTTACAAATGAGAATTCTGGGCTTTCTTCCAGAACCACATTTGTGAGGTTAGACACTAATGCGGATGAGAAAGCTGGGAGGTGGTGAACCCCTGTTGCAGGGTTGAGGGGACAGTGCTAATATAAATTCCTTAGGAAATAATAAAGTATTCTGACTCTGATACCCACAGCACCTCTGTTAGTATCCTTGCTTACTAACTTGACATTTACATTTTTAAAGTTTTTACACTTTCCATCATGTTGGCATTTTGATTTCTTTTTTTTCTGTAGATATTTACAGCTACAGTAGCAATAACAACAAGAAGTCCGCATAAAAGAACTAATATAACAGGAAAAGATGTATCCTTGTCTCCTCCATCCTTGGGGTTGATGGAGTGCTTGAACTCGCTGACGACTCTCTTGCCACTGCTTGTCCTGCTGGTTGTAATCTCACACTTGTATGTACCCGTATCGCTGATGCTGACTCAACAGTTTCAGAACACTCTGCTGTGCAAGTCTGCAGTTTGTGTTGTAATACAAACCTCATTTTGTTTCTGTTTTATCAACACAACGACCTCTGAAGGGATCCCTGTAAAATTTGAAGAAAACATGATCAGCTCTGACTTCCTGTACAAGTAAAGATGTGCTGATCTGTAAGTTTCAGCAAAGGCTTTTTGTTGTTGACACAAAGAGTTGATGAGCTGCAGCCGTGTCTTCGGATCCAGACAGTGAGCTGCCAGCTGCTTTTATTTAAGAAGCAAAGGACATAACATGAATAACAAGAGCTGCAAATTTCCCACTTCCACTCTGCTTTAAAATAGCAGCTACTGTTATAAAACAAATGTTTAGGGATATTTTTAAAAAGTGGGGATTGCAAAGAGCTCTTAGTGCGTAGCTGGGTTATGCAGCATGGGTGTGAGGAGGAAGTGTTATAGGTGGTGGAAATGATCACAATTGAGCAGGAAAAGTCACCATAACCAGATGTTATCACTCTAAAACGATTAGTTTTTACCTTTACAAATTTCTAAAGTAGTCCTGTAAATCTGTGTTCTCATCCAGACTGAGATTTGATCTGTTTTGGAGACAACAAAGCAAAACTAAGCTGTCCACAGGATGGACTTTAGGAACTGACATTTAGGAACACTTCAGTCACTGTTAAAGGAAATATTTCAAATACTTTCTGTTAGCAGCATCACCCATGAAAATTCATTTCTATTGAAAATGAACAGAACAGATTCTTAGACTGCAGAACTAAGATAAAGATCGAGGGGAAGGAAGTCCACAAATGCAGAGAAAATCACTCATGTGGAAACCACCAAACACACCTCCTCCCTGTTCAAATCTAGATGTGCCTTCATGCACTCATTTTCATTCTATGATGAAATCGGATGTGTCTCAACACACTCAAAAAACATTTCAGTTTAATTCAGTTTTTTATGTATAATTTAAACATCGCCAAACAGTTGCTTCAAGTCACTTTTAAACACATTTGAGATGAATGAACAGTTCAATTCAATTTTATTTATACAACGGCAAATCACAACAACAGCCGCCTCGAGGTGCTTTATATTGTAAGTTAGACACTACAATAATACATACAGAGGAAAATTCCTTAGGCGTTAATAAAGTATTGTGACTCTGATATCCACAGCAAGGCTGTTAGTATCATCGCTTGCTAACATGACATTGCTGTAAGTTGTAACTGTGATTACAGGATCAGAGAAGAGAAATGCTACACAAAGTAATAATTACACAGTTTAATTAACATCAACAACGACACTGAAGTAAAGCGAATTACAGTAATCCAGTTGAGATAAGATGAACGCATGGATTGCTCATTTGAGGTTTTAAAGGATAAAAATGACGTCACGTTGGATAGGAGCCTTAATTTAAAAAAGGACCACCGAACAACTGAAATTATTAGTTTTTCTCAAAACAGATCTGACACATTTCATGCCAGCTGTTCACTTTCCATCATGTTGGTATGATTTGGGTTTTTGATGATTGATTTTTTTTTCCTGTAGATATTTACAGCTACAGTAACAATAACCATAACACCAAGGAGTCCGCACGTCACAATGAACATAATAACAAAAAAAGATATATCCTTGTCTACTCCATCCTTGTGTCCTCTTTCTTTGGATTGTCCTTCTGTGAAACCTGCAGAGAAAAATCAAAACAAAGGTTTGAGGACTCTGGTACCAGGCAGACTAAAAATAGCTCTTGTTTTACATTTTGAAATCTCTGTAACATTCGGTAGAGGTGATGTCAAAGCTGCTGGCAGCGAGCTGGATGTCAGAAGAGTAAGTAATGAATGTATCTGCAGCCGTTTGGTTAATAACTGCAGGGTAGCATCGCTGTGCTCATGTTTCATACCATGTTTCTAACACAAATGGAAAAATACCATTCAGCAGCTTTAGATTGACTTTTTCAAACTGCTGCATCACATACAAGCAGAAGGAAAATGAGCCCACTGTTGGAGCCTGCTGTGAGGATTTCATGAGGCACTGCTTTTACCATCCACAGAGGACCACTCTGAGCATGGAAAAAGCCAACATCATACCTCTGAGGTGTGAAGAATGCCCTTATAAACGGCTGTGCAGTAAGCTCAACCTCTACAAACTCACCTGTGTCTGTGACTGTGAGGTTGATGGAGTGCTTGAACTCTTTGACGACTCTCTCGCCATTTCTGATGCTGCTGGTTGTAATCTCACACTCATATGTTCCTGTATCGCTGCCCCTGACATTCCTCAAAATCACAGAAACGTCTCCATCCTTCATGGATGAGTCTCTCAGCTGCACTCGGCCTTTGAAGGACTCATGCTGGTAGTTCTCGTACGAGCGCTGGTCTTGGAAGAAGAACACATAACCCTGTGAGATGAGCTCCGGTCTGCTCCACTCCAGCAGGGTGACGTGTGCATCTCTGGGACCCCAACACTGAAGAGTGGCATCTTGTCCAGGCCCCACTCGGAGCTCTGTGTCCAGAAAAAAGAAAGAGGAGAAAAAACCCCAAAACATTAACAGCGTGTTATATTGCACATCATGGACATGCATTATACAGAAGAACACGTTGGACTCCATTTCTACCACTTATACTTCAGCAGACAGTCACAACCTGAGACCTCTGACAGCAGCACTATGGATCACAGCAAGTACTGAACTGTTCTTGAGTTGTAGCAGGTAGAAGGTCAAAGTTTACAGTGTCACAATAATGGCTCTCATCTTGTGAGGTCACCATGGTAACCTGGTATGAAGCAGCAAAAACAATACTTGAATAAATATTTAAGTGACAGTTGCAATCCAACTTCAAAAACAAAACTTGGAGCTTAAAGTGCCTAAAGTAATAAAACTATTAATTATTAACAAATAGTATACATGTTTCATTAATGTGTCTATTGCTTTAATGTTACAGCGGGAGAGGACTGTACTGACTCACATACTGCTTGGCAGCTTGATCTATAACAGTAAACAGTCATATTTAATCATTTTTGTTTTAAATTTGCAAAATATTAAGTCAAACAAGCTTTAAAATAAATTGTGTTAAGAAAAGTACAATATTTGCATTCAAGCTTTCTAGATTTATGTATTCATGATTTCACACTCTTTAATCAGTACATTTTAAAATCATCCTCTCCTCACCCTCTGAACAACCTCTGAATCATGACTTTGACTTTATACTGCCTGCTGTATCCTACAACACATTTTGCTGAGATGACGTCACCAGATGCAGTGAAGAACATTTTCGGTTGAAAAAAGAAAGGTTTTGCTGTGACATGTGAGAGCAGCAGCTGCTACACAGACAGCGGGGTCTCCTCTTCTATGTAACCGCAGCATTATATACAGGAGAGGAACAGAAACTAAAGTGTCATCTCAATATCAGTACAAACATTGGTATCAACATTGTCGATATTTGGATTTGTACACCTTTCATGCCACTGTTGTGAGATTTCCACTAACCTGTATTGATGTCCTCTTCATTGCAAATTGTGTCTGTCTGAAATGTGCTTTATAAGCTAATCATTTCTGTTTGTGGTGATGACGCCCAGTACAGTCAAACCGTGAAGTAAAAGTAACATTTTATTCCATCTTTGGCATCAGATCAATTACTCATACCAGCTCCTAACATTTTTATCGATGCAACTGTGCAGTGCATGCACACACTGCAACATAACAACATCATGTATGCACTGCACGGTATTATTAATCATGCATTGTTTACTACCATCAAGCAGTGCCCACTTTCTTTAGCAAAGGTTGAGTCATTTCCTCCACTGCTAGTTCGTCCTGTCTCTAAACGCATGAACTCACCTTTCAATCCAGAAGCCAGTAAGACGTGAAGGGAGAAGAAGACCACAACTGACGACATTTTTGCAGACATTAAACGAGAAGAGGCGCGCACTGTTAGATGGAAGTTGTTTTGTTTTGAAAGGGAAGTACTTTTGGTTTCATTTTTGACATGTCGCTTATGTAAGCTTGTACAGCTTAATCACATTCTCTTAGTTCCTGGATCAAACTCCTGTTTATCACCACAGTCACGCTTTATATAACTAATTTTTGAAATGATGCTTTCTTATTGCTAGCCTAGAATACATTAAGGTCAGCTGATTGCATGCAGGTCCCTGAACAAAGAGTGTAACTTCGGGACTTCCTGTTTTTTTGTTTACTGCCTGTGAGCAGTGTTTGGCGCCATCACTCTAAAGGAAAAAACACATAAAGAAAGTACTACAAACTCTCATAACAAACTACTTTAAATAACCTCAAATACAAGTTTTAAAAAAAGAACAGAAAAGTCGTGATCTTTGGAGATCTTTGGAGATCTTTGGAGCAAGCTCCCTTCCCTCACAGAGGGAAACAAAACAACTGCATTAGGGCCAAGCAAGGCCCCAATGCAGTAAAGCTACTTTTGTTGTGATTTGGTGCTATATAAATAAAATTGAATAAAATTGAATTGAATTCTGTTCAGGACGCCTCAACAGCCAGATTTTTTTTTTAAAAATCCATCCAGAAAAAATAAAAGTGTGTTTTTTTTATCCCTCTCCTACAAGAAACAACACTGTAGCGTTATTATTATTATTATTATTATTATTATTATTATTATTATTATTATCGTTCTTATTTTAATTAGAAAGAGCTGTGCTGATTTTTAATGCAAATAAATTCCTCAAAGAATACAAGACAGATATAAATACCCCCCCCCCCCCCCCCCCAAAAAAAAAAAAAAAAAAAAACCCCAACAACTAAAAACTGGCTTTTATTCTTTCAGTTTCAGTTTGTTGCTTTAATAAACCTCATGATTCACGTCTCAGGTTAAAACTGAAAGGTCAAAGGACTTTTTTCCATTAGAATTGAATGGGAATTGCTGATTTGCTGTCGGTGCCGTTGCGCCAAGTAAAGGAATAAAAGAACCAAATAGAAACTCACCCATTCACTGTTTTTGGGCTCCAGGTTGCTCTCATGTGTCTCAGACTGTCTCAAGTGTCTGGTTTCTCTCGCTCCCCCGGGATGTGGCTGAATGTTTTCCCTGTCAAGCTGCTCGCTGCCTCTGATCGCAGAGGAGTTTTGTCCATTCATTCTGCTCGGGACGCCTCGACAGCCAGATTGAAAACTCCATCCACAAAAAAATAAAGGTGTAAATCCATCTTAAGTGGCAACAAACACAAACTTTGATCCATGACCCAAACATGACTGTTTTTTCAGAAAAGTGCGTCTGTAAGTACCGCGTCTGTAAAAGCGCTTCATTGACTCTTTTGCTGCAGAGCTCCCCTACTGGCTGTGACGATGAAGACATCCAAGCTTCGTTCAGACTACAAACGAAAAAACAGCAAAATATCTGATTAACCTTCCAGGACCTGGCGTCCTTATATGTAGACATCACATTTTGGGTTATTTGGACCAAAACACGCAATTTTGCTCTACAACTGCCTCATATCCACTTACAAGGACATTATACTGCTACTGTTCTATCGCAATTTTAAACGAATATCCTCACATGTGGCTCTCATTTCTCTCGAAAGATCAGGTAAAAAAAAAAATCTAGTAATTCTTTGTTTTTACATTCATCGAGCCCCAATGTGCCCAAATATCAAAGATAAATTAAAATGCATGCTGTGGAAGAGTTCGGGTCTTAGGAAGTTAAAAACAACAAACACTGAAAATAAGGATGTTTTTTTAGAAAGAAATAAAATTCCAGCTCTCACAGCTGTGTAGCCTACATGTGGTGTTTTTACTACAAAGAAACACGTGTTTCTGTGTGGATCTCTTTCCGCTTTGCTTAACTTTGAAAAATATTTTTTAGACAAGCAGGTGACACAATTGTGCCGTGGAGCCGTATTAAAAAAAAGATTATTATTATCAGTCTTATTTTAACTAGAGAGAGCCTTCATGTCATGATGTTTAATGCAAATACAACCCTCAAAGAATGCAGGATAGATGTAAATGCAATAAATAAATAAACTAAACTAAATAAAACTGTCACTTTCAGTTCGTTACTGTAATAAACCTCATGATTTACATCTTATCTTAAAACTAAAAGGTCAAAGGAGTTTTTTCCCCTAGAAGTGCTGCAGAGAAACCACAGACCCCCCAAACTTTGCTACCAAGAGGAAGGAGGAGGGTTCAAGGGCTGCAGTGGAACGAAACGATCTCAGATCTGTGTGACACGATGGGACGAACACCTCTGTTGTGGCTGCTCTGTAAGTACCGCATGCTCTTTTTTGAAACCTTAGTATGTGATGTGTATATTTAAGATATTTTGGCTCCAGTGGGTTGAAGCTACAGGTATTTGCTTTTACTTAAGACTTAAAACCTGTGTTAATAACAAAAGGGCAAAGGGTGTAACAGTAAATCTAGTTACACACTATAAAAGGAAGCACAGGTGGATGCTGCAGGTGCTTTAATCCAGCTGGGTTTTTTGTGTTTCAGGTGAAATTTTAAGAGCTTCACGCTTTCACGTCACTAAATTAGTTAAAAACTCAGATTTAGTGGTTGATGGTGCAGATAAACTACAGTGGTGTTAAACTGCATCCTCACCTCCCCCTACAGAGCACATCCTGTTTATCAGTCTGACATTCAGCTCGAGGTCACTGCCCCACAGGTCGAGTGGATATTTAGCATTTAAACCAAAAACACGTGAAAATCTATTCACTCTTTATCTCTTGGGTTTCCTTTCAGTCCTGATGTCGCTGCTCAGCTGGGCAACAAACCACGGTGAGGGAACTTTTTTTATGACAAATAAAAGACAATAAAACACCAACTCCCAAAAAGTACCAAAAAGTAGCACAACAATGGAGACAGATCAGGTTCAATGTGTGTCTCTGAGAAATGAAACAGGCCGAAAAAGCTGTGATGATGCTTTAAAAATGTCCTCCTTTATTAATGTTTTATATATATATATATATATATATATATATATATATATATATATATATAAATAAATATAAAAACTCTCTCTATATTCTATTTTCTAATTCAAATTTCTACTATGCAAGTTTCTGTCGGTGTTCTGCCACTGGAAACTGAATTTCCCAGAGGAATCTACCTGAGGGATTAATAAAGTTTTATCGATCTAGCAAAAGAGTTCCAGACTTTATATTAAGAGTTTTCTGAGTTTCACCAAACTTTATAACTTTTCAGTAAAAAAGAGGGAAGAGGTGAAGGGGTTAGTTAAGTGTTCTCTGTAGACTAGTCCCTAAATACTAGTTAATGATTTTAAAATGAGCAGAAAGGAACAGATTCTTAAACATAAAGTGATTTAAATGTTTAAATCCTAATAAAAACCTACTTAAAAATAAGAGGACTAAAGGGTGGATGATATAAAACGCAACCATCAATGTTAGCTTTTTAATGAGGCTTTCTTGGTCCTGTGACACACGATGAGCACACAGCTGCCAGCAGCTCAATTTCTCGAAGGAAGGAATGAAAATAAATAATGTAAAAAGTAAATGAATCTGTTAAGTTTTTACCTACAGACAGATTGCAAATCTCTGTTTAACTTGGAGAGAAGATGTTGTTCGTTTCCTGATATCCTGTCTTTAATGGTTAATATTCATAATAGATACCATGAGGTCAGTGTATGCACAAGTAATCCCTGTGAGATTAAAGCTCAGAATGCAGACTGACATGTTTAGACTTTTGTATCTGTATGATATCATAGAACGACATCTCTAAAAAGTTATTTCATGATACCTGGGCAGGATTTTAGGAGATTATCTTTTGCATGAACTAAACTCCTGGATCATTTTCTGCCCTCATCTGAAAAACACCAACAAAGATTCTGCTGGTTTCTTTGTGAAAAAGCTTTTCCTTACGTTTTGCTTTATTTTAATCATCTCTCCTCACAGCTCGTCTGACTGTGAGTCCCAGCAGCTCTCAGTTCTTTATAAGAGACTTTGTGTCTCTGAGCTGTGAGGAGGACGACAGCTCTGCTGGATGGACTCTGAGGAGAAACACAAGCAAGGGAAACAGGACTCAGTGTGGAGATGAGTTTGGCAGATTAGACGGTTCTTTATGCATCATCAACCACATCGTTCGATGGGACACTGGAGTTTACTGGTGTGAGTCCAGAGAGGGTCCCATCAGTAACATGGTTAAGCTGACAGTCACTGGTAAGCTGAGTGTGTGGAGTTAGTGTTGATGAAGCTGTGTGTAAATGGATGAAATGCTGTAGTTTGTCTCTGTGTTGAGGTGGATCAGTGATCCTGCAGAGTCCTGTCCTCCCTGTGATGGAGGGAGATGACGTCACTCTGCTCTGTAAAACAAAGACCACTCCCTCCAACCTCCCAGCTGCTTTCTATAAAGATGGCTCCCTCATCAGGAAGCAGCCTACAGGTCACATGACCATCCAGCATGTTTCCAGGTCTGATGAAGGCCTCTACAAGTGTGACATCAGCAGTCATGGAGAGTCTCCATCCAGCTGGATCACTGTCACAGGTGAGGCTTCTGTTTCTTTTACAGACTTTAGACCCAAAGTGAGTCAAACTGACCACATCGATTTGTATTTCTTAGTAAATGCAGGTTCTCCCACCTCTCCTCCTCCATCAGCCTCCACTGCCTCCTTCTACTCCTCGTTTTCCTCTCCTCCTCTCTCTGTGATGGTGTCTGTTCCCTCCATAACTGGGTTGCTCCTGCTGGTCATACTGCTTCTAGTGCTGAGACGATGCATCCAGGGAAAAGCTGGAGGTGAGACACATTCTGCGCTTTATGATGACACATCAAACCACTGTTTTTTTTTAAACAAATCACCTAAAAAAAATCAATAAATTATAATCTCCATTTTTGTGTTTCTGGCACTTTGAGCCTCATTTCTACAGCCCACATCTCCAACAGTCAGAGCTCACACTAACATCATCTAAGTGGAAACAGCAAACACAATCGCTTTCTTTAAAAGCTGCAACATGCTGCACGTGTTATTTCCACACATCTGTCTCTGTGAGGACCAGTTTGAGCCACAGACCATTTACATTATTAACTGAGGCTTAAATAAGGCTTATTATGACTAAGCTACACGCACTTCTTGTGCATCAATTTCTACAATAGAATTTTATGATTAATGTCATGAACATTTGCACACTGTACACAGTTTGGTTATTTTTTCTTGTGTGTGTGAAATGAGAAGTTGTGGTCAAAGAAAGCTGATGCGAGCGGTTCAGTCCAGTTTCCTGTTTTTTGAAAGAAAAGACAGAAACACTTAAAAAAAAAAAAACTTTATTCTGACTGCAGTCTTCTCTTCATTTTTCATTTTAAACACATTTCGCCTTCTTTCAAATATTAATCTCGCTGAATCAGCAGCATTTACAGCTCTGCTATTAATGGAAAATCTTTGCATTTGATTTTGCAGAGAGAGCAACAGCTGCCACCTCTTCATCAGTGGGAAGAACATCTGCAGATGATCGAAAAGGGTCAAAGATGATGAGAGGTAAAGGACAGCATTAATCCTCTCGTGTTTCGACATGAGGCTCTGTGAGGTGCATGGCTGGTTTTTCATCAGGTCAGGTTGATCAGTTTGTAAATTGCTCGCACATAAGGGACAAAGACTTCAGTCCATCATTAAAAATCTCCTGTATTAAAGATGTTGAACCAGAGCCAGAAAGAGTGAGGTCTTGTGCTTTTCACATTAAATCAGGCTTATTATTCTTATTTCTAGCTCCATGTTTTCATTTTTGGATTACACTAGTGTAGTTTGGAATATTTACAGGTTATAATGATCTTTGGTGCAGCACTTCTGTAACTACTGCCACATGCTAGTCAGGTCAGGTTTAATTTGGAAAAAAAAAAGACTTTCACACTTTTGCAAAGTGTTTACTTTACATGATGCATTGTGTAAGACTGTTACATCATTGTGCCAAGTGAGCGGCTCTGTGGTCATCAGGTTTCCTGTTTTGAGAGCTAAACCGAGCAGAGGTGTTAAGGTTGCTGCATGTTAAAGACAGGCTGTGCTGTGGCCTCACATTTGCCGCTGTTGTTCCTGGAATGTCAAACTTTTTCTCACCGTAAAACACAGGTTCTGGGTCAGTCACCTGACTTTGTCATGTTTTGCAGAGAGCGATCCAGCGGCAGTTTACTCTTCAGTGCACAGAACACCTGAGATCAGCTACGCACAGATCCCCATCAAGACGAACTGCAGACAGAGAGGTACAGCTGTGAAATTCTCTGAGTGGTCAGTAAGACTGGAACAGCTCTTTATAACACTGTAGTATATATGTATATATATATATATATATACATATGAAAATGCTACACAGTTGATGCCTCTTATTTAATTTTTTATTTTATTGCAAATCAGAGATGGTCCAGCTGAAGGTTGATGATGACGTGCGATGGAAACAGGGGCGACATATAATTCAGCAAAGCATCAGTTCTGTCATTCAAAAACAAAAGATCTGACTACTACTAAGACATATTTATATATTTCAATATTAATTATTAGAATTCTGAGATTCATTTATCTATATTTGTGTAAAACAGTTTTGTGGATATCCTCTTTGTAATAAACAAAGTGTGTGTGTTTTTTTTTCTCATGTTTATCTAAACTTTCGGTAATCTGTGTGTTTGTGTTCAGATCTTCCACCAGAGCCAGCCGTCATCTACTCCTCACTGAAGCAGACCCACACACCTTCACCACAGCTTAACCAGTCTAACCAGTGACGTCCAGCTGGCTGCCAAACACATCCCTGCACTCCTCTCTATATTATATATTATTTATTTAATCATATTCTGTGTGTGTTTACAGTTGTACAGCTGCACTGGACCAGTTTGAATGTAGAGGTCAGGATGAAATGGAAAGTTTAATTTTCACTTTAATAAAACATCTTACAAAGCAGTTTCCTGGTCATTGAACACACCTGTGCAACATCGGCCAATCACAGATTCAAAAAGGGAAATTGTTTCTTCACATGAATCCAGAGTCACAGACTCTGGAAACAGCTGCAGCACATCAGCAGCCATCATTTCATTTTATTCTTTAAAGAGAAGAAACTCGCCTAGAATCATTTTAAGGAGCGGCATCATCCTCAGAAGTCTCTTGAAGTCTCGCTTAAAGGACACTTTACTCTTTGTTTTGTGTGTCTCAAATAAACTGAGAGCCGTTCAGCTCTGTGGAGATGCTGTGCTAGAGGGTGAACGTGGGAATGTCATCGAGACGTAAACGGTTGTCTTTGAAACTGGCTTCACAGGTTGTTGTGAAAGTGATGCACTGTGTAAACGTTTTGAGTGAGTGAGCAGCTCTTTGGTCATTTAGTTTCCTGTTTTGAAAACTAAACTCAGTCAGCAGAGGTGTCGAAGTCGCTTTTCAAATCCACATTTCCCATCACGTGGCTTTGTCTCATTTTGCAGGGAGCGATCCAGCTGCAGTTTATTCTTCAGGGCACAGAACAAGTGAGGTCAGTTATGGATGAACTGTAGATGCACAAATGAAAAAGGCTCCGATCTCAGCCTGCATCAGCAGAAACAATGAAAAGACATGAAAACAGGAGACAGTTACAGCACATTAGTCAGTGAGGTCATAAGGAGGTGACTTCTATGTTTTGTTTAGTTTTTTTTTACATTATCATACATAAATGTTTCAGGCCATAAAGCACATTTTAATATTAGACTAAGAAAACCAGATTGAATGCAGACGATTTCATTTATTAAGGATTGGAAGCTGTCCAACCCTACAGGCCCCTGTGCGAGACTGACTGCAACCTGGTGTTAAATTGTGAATTAACTGGGATTAACCACATTTTATTTTGGAAAGCTGAGTTTAATTTCACTACATCCACACTCAGGCCTGACTACTGCCAGTCCCGCTGGATCAGGAAATCATTTAAATAAAACTCATCTGACAAAGTAAAGCAGGCTGCAGACATGATGATGATCTAATGAAATAGCCGAGAAACCAAATCACTGACAACTATCAGTCTGGAAAGTGTTAGAAAGGCATCTCTAAGGTTTTGGGACCAATATGAGAGCCGTCGTCCACAAATGGAGGAAGCCTGTGGAAACAGGAGTGACACATCCACGGCTCATTCAGCAGGTCACAAAAGAACCCAGAACAACATTTAAAGAATTGCTGCAAAGCCGCTCAGAGCTCAGGATCAAGTGGAAACATCCTTTAATAAAACATCTTAAATGCAGTTCCTCACCCATTCAGCTTTTATTTGGTTGTGTTCTCGCCTTGAGCAGAATCGAAAGACTTCCACCTGCATGTCTGAGCCTGCAGAGCTCAGGCCTTGTTTTTCATTCTTTAAAAACACAGAACCGTTTAAAGGTGTGGCAGTGCATTTGAATAATCCAGCTGCTTCTCCACACCTCTCTCATACACTGAAGGTAACAGCACATCTGTGAATGACACAGTGCAGAGAAGCCAAACTGCAATGACTCAATCATTTACCTTAAAAGTTTTAACAGTGTTTTAATAAAGGATGTGGATCACACAGCTTTCTTTCAGTGATGAGCAGTGACTAAAAGCAGCCACCAGGTGGCGGTCCTGGCCCTGCAATTACAGTCAGCTGACATGAGCACAATAACTTCTTTTATTTGTTTATTGCCAGAGTTAAATCATTAATCCTCAGGAGAAGAAAAAATATTTGGGGGATTCCAGCTGTTCTTCTTCTTGCATATTCAAACTGTGGAGCTGAATTCATCGTTTCCAGATGTTGGAAAAAAGCCAACGCCACAACAACTTTGTTCCGCAACACAGCGTTTCCAGGCCACACCTGCAGAGTAATCTGATTACCCATTATTCCTACTAACAGCACAAGGAAGAACGAAAGCTCTTCCAGCACAGACTTCCTGCTGTGTTATTGTGCAGCCGTTTGCATTCCTGTGGCTGTTTCAGACACACAGCGATCCTGCCCTCCCCCAGCACCGCCCACAGCAACAAACATTCATTCTCTGACCAGTTTTAGTTATTTCACGTTGTACCGACGCCTTTTATCATCATGAAACAAACTCCGTCCAAACCAACCAGCTGATTGAAGTGTTTTATTAACATCAGAACATAATGCTGTACACGTAGGGGTTAAATCTGTGGCTATTGCCAAGAAACAAAAGTGAAAGATCAACATGAACATGAAACAGTTACAGAAAATGTTCACATTACAAGAGAACTCTTATTAAAAGTCAGTGTTACACATGTCATTAGTATTAAAAGGGAGATGTGTATATATATATATGTATATATAAGATCTCTGGCTTAGACCTAAACACAAGACACGCTAAACCACAAATCCCTATGTTCACGTGCCGCAGTCATGGTTATTGACATGTGATCAAATTCCCACAAACACCAGTCTCCACAGTTTAAAGAGAAAGAGGTTTCATTCTCAATCAACACAAAAATAAAACTTGCTCTGTCATTGTTAAATTGATTAGTGGTCAGTTTCACAGGAATAAAGTGCTTAATGCTACATATTTGTGGACAGTCTCATGACCTGCATCTGCTTTTTTAGTTTCTCACAGCAGAGAAATATTCATGGTCCCCTTTTCTGGGAAGTGGAATCACACTGTTATATACACGTAGACAGGATTCTCAGTGTTTCATATTCATATTTTCTAATTCGTTGTTTTTTTTTAGCAAATCATCCTTTTTGATTTTTCTGGGCTTCGTTGTCTAGTTCAGGACACTTGTAAGTCGGTAGGGATTTGCGTTTTCTTTTATAGACCAATAAGCCAACAACAGCAAGAACAAGGACACAAAATCCTCCGACTCCAACTCCGACTGCGACACTCTGTCCACCTTGATGACTCTCGTTTCTCTGAAATGCTTTCCCGACGCGTCCGACCGGCTCGCTGACTTCATCCGTGTGCTCTGCAGATCACAAACATCAGACATTACACGCTGCACTCAGAAAAGGTTTCTATTCCAGGAATCCTGTTCAACAAACTCTGAGATAAAAACAACAAAAAAGTCTGAGTTTATCTGAGATCAGCAGCTCTCAGTGTCCTGCTCAAACAGCTCAGAGTTCGTTCACCCAGAGTTAAATGCGTGCGTGAGAAAGAAAGTGAAATTAGTAGGTCTCAGAATTCGGTTTTTTTTTATACTTTCGATGGCCGTGATTTACCCAAGTTACATTATGCATCCTGATTTTACAGCTGTTTTTTTTAACTGAAACTGAAAACCTGGTGAAACAGATGGGACACAGTTTACTGACGCGCCCGTCATACTAACGTTTCCAATTTAACCATTTCTAACCAGCCTTCACTGATAGTCGATGGCTCTCCTGCAGCTACAGCAGGGATGTTCTACTGAGTCACATTTTACTTTTGAGAGTCATTAAAATATGGAAAACAGATCATGTCAGGACAAAATAAGACACTATGACTGGATCCAAAACAGATCCAGACGGGATGAGCTGTGAAGCGACCAGAAGAAACTCAGGCCTTTGGTCAGATCTGGTCTCTGTCCATGATCATGATCTGCTTTGCATCCTGCAGTGTAAGCGGACTCCAACATGGAGCTGATACTGATTCACACAAGATCCTGTGATACGTTAGATGGATCTGGGTCACTGACACCGAGTGTGAACTTCAGACTCTGTTCCTTTAAAAATGCTCTTTGAATAATGACTCAATCGAAAATGCGAACAAAACTCAACGTGAAATGTAATCAGATTACTGTAAGACTGACTACAGCCGGTTCACGTAGTCTACAAGATCCAAGTGTGACAGACATGTTTCCATGAGTGTGGCTGAACACGACACATGAGCGTGTCATGTATCTAAAGCTCATCCTTCCCTGCAGAGAAACTGGCCGACAGCTGCAGATTTTATTTTGAGCTGATAATAAATCTGTGAATGACTGAAAAAACACTCATTTGCACGAAAACTATTTTAAAAAGCACAAAAAATAGAAAAGTGATGTCCAAGTGGGACAAAATAGGTTTCACTGCACAAACAAACTGCTCTGAACTTTGATAAGAACAAATAAGGGGAAATAAAACTAGTCGGCTGGCGAACCACGAGGGGAAGCGAGAGGGACACTCAGACTTTGTTGAAGAAATCCCGCCAGGATTTTAAGCTCAGTCTGTTACCGTGGTAACTGAATCAGAGTTGAAGCTGGCTCTCTTCCAGGAGCAGAAAACCTGAGTTTCCTTGATCTCAGGGTTTATAAACTCACATGCTTCCTGGAATAAAACCCTGCAGCTTTCTAACAAGTCTCATCAAAAACAAACTCAAGCTCACCTGCTTCTGTGACACTGAGGGATCTTTCCTCACTTAAGACTCTCTCGCTGCTTGCTGCGTTGCTCATTATAATTCTGCACTTGTATCTTCCAGCATCGCTGACGGTGACGTTCTTCAGCACGATGGAAACGTCTCCGTCCTTCATGAAGGCCTCTCGCAGCGTGACTCGACCCCTAAAAGACGAATGCTGGTACTTCTCGTATGAGCGTTCGTTGCGGTAGAAGAAGACGTAATCGTCCACACTCAGGTCAGGTTTGCTCCACTCCAGCACGGTGACGACTGCATCTCTGGGAGCCCGACACTGAAGAGTGACATCCTCTCCAATCGTCGCTGCGTACTGGTCTAAAATCAGAGAACAACATTCAGATATAATTCAACTAACCCTTAATAGATTGTTTCTTTCTTTATAAGAACTCTACATGGGGTGATTTCTTCATTTTGAATAAATTGGGGTCTCTGTACTGGAGCCTCTGGACCATATCTGTCCTACTGGAGCCTTAAGAAGCATTTTTAATGCAATTATGAGACTAATAATTTGTTTACTGTAAATGTGCTCACAGACTGTCCAAGATGTCTGTGCTTCAGTGTTGGTGAGTGAAGTTGGAGTGTTTCCCAAGTCAGTTATTTAATTCAGCATTTAGAAGCTATCAGTGCAACACACCCGCACACACATGCAGATAACACCAACTGAAAAAGGGAGGACTGTACTCTCTTATTCAAATATTTGCCTCAGAGGGAAAAAAGAAAGAATTTTATCTGCTGTACAGTTTCTTTTCTAACACTGACTGAATATGCGGAGTCCAAAACCAATCTGTGACGTCAAGTGATTCAGTCCATCTTTTAAATACAGTCTATGATGAAACCTGAGCCCACCTGGGTCAGGAACATTTACAGTTATCAGAAGCATCATGTAGCCTGGCTGTAGTGGAGACTAAGCTGTGAGGTTTTTTTTAACCAAATTCTCTCTTTAGGAAAATTCTTGTTGTGTCATGTCAGGGATAGAAACCCAACACATGTGACAGATCTGATGATGCGGTCAGTCAGTCATGACTGGACTGATCTTCCAGGCGCTCCTTTCATGGGTCGCCACAGCAGATCACCTGCCTCCCTCTCACCTCATCCCAAGATCTTCCTCCGTCACACTAACCCCTGCATGTCCTCCTTCACTACATCCATTAACCTCCTCTGAGGTCCAAAATGTCTTAGCCTCACTTCTCCAACTTTGTCTCCTAACCTGCTGGATATGAGCGGTCCCTCAGATGCACTCGTTTCTAATCCTGCACATTCTGGTCACTTCTGTCTGGATCACAAAAATGACATTCCCATGCTGGATTGATCGATAACGTGGGCTGCTCTGCTATCAGGCCCAGAGACAGTGCTGTGATTTCTCCCAGCGTCTCGATTCCAAACACTAACAACACAGCTGGACCGCAGCCAGCTATATGCACTTTTAATTACCAGCCTATCTTTTGGCAGGTTTGGCAGCTGATCAGCAGAAATTAGACAGTAGTTTCTGCAGGAACATCTGGATCTCCTCACACAAACACTGACATCAGTGGTCTCAGTTTGGACTCAACAATTCTGTGGCGCTGCTGAATCCCAGACATTGTAATTAGTCTGGAACATATTTCACATTTTCAGCACACACACAGGTTTACGGTAAACTCTGTCATACCAGTCATAACACAAACATTTTCGGTTGCATTTTTACATGAATGCCGAGCTCAGTTTGAAAAACAAAAACTCAAGAACAAAATACACTGCATAAAATCAGACTGTAAAAAATTCTCAAACACAGGCAACTGAAGATTATAATTATCTTTTTATTACATGCAATGGTCAGGTTTATCTATAAAACACATGCACAGACAGCAGCTTGACCAAAGGTCTATTTAGCACAGTGAGAACGAAACTACAAAACAGCAAGAGCTGATTAAAGCTTAATGTGGGGTTTGTTTGACTTTCCAAAGGTTCTCAATGACACAAGTCCAAAGGTGATTTGTGTGCCCGCTGGACTTCCGACAAAAATGCGTTAACATCCTGTAGGCACTTCTAACTTATTAATACTGCCAGCTCACAGAAAACTGAGTGTGATAACAGCATAGGTTGCACCACAGCCTGGGATTTTGCAAATTCAAACACATATTAGGGCAGGAGGAAAAAAGAAAGAAAGAAAGGCTTAAAAATATCCTGCAGCGCAGTGCCTGCAGTTACCAGGCAGATAATGCCACTGAAGCCTTTGTACGGAATAATACTAACCAGCAGGATCACGGAAACCAACTCCCATTTCTTCCATATGCTGTTTGTAACGCACACAAACACACAACGACAGACGCACAAAACTCACCTTCAGAAGCAAAAGCGCGATGGAAGAGCAGCAAATGTGCAAAAAACCACAGAAAACCCATGTCTGCCGTTAAATCCATGACAGCTTTATGCACGGCAACAAGTTGTTTACCAGAGCAGAGGAAGGACGAACAGGGCGGAGTTGAATTCCAAGAGTTTTGTTTTCGAAAAACGCCTGCCCGAACCTGTTGCGTCATCACAACAAGCGACTGCGCCATCTACTTATTTTCTGACATTTTACGAATTTTTTTGTTTTATTTTCGAAAGAAATTCCAAGTATGTGAGAGGAATATGAATGTAGAAGAAGAATGCAGCGAACAGTATTTCTGAATGGCGTTATATAGGGAGCAAATAAACTGCTGCGTTTTACACTTGTTACATTTTATGTGAATTTTAACTGAAGATGTGTTAAAAAAAAACCGAAAACCCTGTAAGTCAGTTCCCGCTTTAAAAAAAATAAATAAACAATATTTCACTTCCTGTAATGACAGAAATCCCCCAGAAAATAAATCATAGTCACAGCTTTCACGTAGGCCTACATCCAGTTTTATTATTATTATTATTATTAGGTGAGATATTAATGCAGCTCCAGTTAGATTTCCTAACGATACAGTTAAATGAACAGAAGGCACAGGAATGATATATAAAGACTGTCGTTTCTGTAACTGGTGTCCTGTGCATTTTCGTGGCTCAGTGGATTTGGTACAACAGTTCTTTTTAAAAGTGGGATGTTTAACGCTTTATTTTTTTAATGTATGGCGCCCTCTGCTGGAATAATACTTTCTGTGCAGTCGGATCACAGCGTGTCTGCAGGACTGAGGCTGTAATTATCAGGGAGGAAAAAGAAACATTAATTGTTTTAAGATGTAAGACAGAAGAAAGGAGAGGAAGATGAGGGTTATCTTGACAGGTAAGTACTACAGAACTACAAATATAAAGAGTACCTGTAAGGTTCTAATTCATGTTGGATTTTCACTGGATCTGTTTTGGTGAGATCATTGTGACACGTCTCTTTATGCAGGTGCAGCTTCGATAAACAATGTGGTACAGCTACACAGCTACACCACATCCTCTGGTGTTCACGGTCAGGGGAGATCAGAGGTCGCAGTTTAGTTTAAATAAACTGAGTGAACCTGCAGTTACCCATGCTACACTGGCCGGAAAACAGCTGTGATGGCTCATCTAACATCTGGTTTGTTTGTTTGCTCTTGGAAAGGTTGCTTTCATAAATCCATCATTTATCCAGGTAAAAGTGTCACTGACATAATACAAAAAGTGTTTTTCAAGAGAGATCTGATCACGAGGGCTGCGGAAATTATGACAAATATTTTCGATAAAGTTATTTTAAGTAACTAAAAAAGGAAAAGAGGACTGGTTGGATTATAATGCACAGTAACGCAGTAACCAAGCTACGTGCAAAATTGGCCATTTCTTTATTTTATATACTAAACCTCGTAAACCTTGTTTTACATAGAAGGATTTTTTAAACCAATATAAGCAAATACATTACACATTACATTACACAGTAATGGCAGCCTTGAGCAGCCAGGATATTAGTTTACAGAGGCTGTTAAAATTATATGTCTAACGTTAAAATGTTGGTGACACAATAATTTCATCCTAATGGTACTGACATATTCATAGGGTTCATTTTTGAGTCAAAATATCATGAGGTAGTCATGATTTTGCAAATCATCCCCCTCGTAGTGCAGTTTGCACAAATTGTTTTAAAAATGCACTCACAAACATTACTGATGAGTCAAGATCTGCACAAACTGACAGAAACACTGAAGCAGCTCCACATTTTATTCTTATTGTCATGTTTGTCCTATTTGTCAGGTGACAGAAGAACCAACACAAAGCGCAGAGAGCAATGGTGACACAAGATCACAGGTGAAACTGGATGATGACTTGTTGGTTCATTACTGTATTTGATATGGCTGAAGTAAACTAAAGTCTAAAATACTTGTTTTAATATTAATTTAACATTATATAATCACATTTAAAACTATGAATTGTTATTTTAAATGGTTTAAAAGCATGTAGAATAGCATATGTAGGCAAGTATATTTCTCTGTTATCAAACGCACAAAGGAGAAAAAAAGAAACGGGGCAGGGTTCGGTGGTTAAATCATCCGTCCTCACCAATGCCAAAACCAAATCTACGCCCTTGGCTTATGGCACCAGTACCGAAGACGATTGGGGACAATAAAAAGAAGCAAATTAAATAAAAAAAAACAAAAAACGGGGGCGTCTGTTTCTTTTAAAGAATTCTGGCATTAACCTCAGAATTCTGGGGAAACAAAAAGAATGACCCCCCCAAATCCACTTCCGTACACCAGCCGGTCTATCTAAATGAATGAATGCGTTTACGCAGCAGCTTTTTGTTTGTTTGTTTGTTTGTTTTATTTCCAGGAACCCCCGCTTGAAAGAAGCGGTTTTGACAGAAATATTAGAAACTTCCGATTTTCTATATTTGCTGCCAAATACGTCGGAAATGTCGATACTGCCCCTGCAGGAATGACGTGTATATAAGCATGTCACACATGCCATTACCCCCCTCTTCTTTTAAATTACTCACCGCTTCATTGTCGCATAGGAACCAACAGTTGTGAAATTCCACTTTTTACGGGTTTTTAGGGGCATTGTCGGGTCTCCCTTGTTACCCTCGGCGCACCTGGAATTTATTCCGATCCTTCAAGCGAGATATCCGGGTATTTCGGCCCATGTCTGTCGGTGCTGTCTGAACAGATAATCCAGAAACTCCGTGCTCAGTAAATCCAAACGGCGATCCAAAATTCCTTTGATTACATCCATCTCCCGTGGGGAACAACTGATACATCCAAAAACGGGTACACCCAGCCGTGGAAAACTCCAGCTCAGAACACTGACACTGTCGCGGCCCCTCCTCTTCCTCCTCCTCTTCACCTCCTTCTATGGGCATTAACGGTGATTGGCAAACCACAGTGGTCTCTCTGAGACGGAGATGCAACATGCGGACAAGTGGAGAGCAACGTTGATCCTTTTCTTCCTTTTTTTCTCAGCAGCTGGCATCTAACTTTTTCACGCACCGCCGCCTACTTGTGTTAGTAAAAGGCTCTAATTTGAAAATTAACTGCAAGGGATGAGAGGAAGCCGTCCCACTAACCATCTGACCACAGATACATACAGTTTATAGTTCACCTCCTTCTCCCCTCAGCTGCTGCTGCTAAAATCCAGTAAATTCAGCTGTTGCACACACTTGTTTCTCTGTGTTAATTTAAAACTTCACCACACACAGTTTCCCCTCTTTGCATCCCTCACACCTCCTCTGATGTGCTCTCCAGCTCATAGCCACATTTAACCATTTCTGCCCCGCTGCACTCCCTCCCTTCTCATGTTAAACGCCCCTCCGCTTTGCCCCAGTTCTTTTTTTTTTTGTCTTCATATGAGCCACCGGTTCAAAACCCGCCCTGCTTTATACTTTCGACTCTAATGTTGCATTCACGTCACTTCAGGTGAATTTCATATTTTTTTGTCATTTCTCTGACACTTGAAAGCATCTTGTGTGATTTAAAAACGTTTTTTTACTATTTACTTGATATCTGCTATTCATCCCATGCAATATGTGCAGTAAAGCAGTTCTCATCCCAACCTGGTTAATGATAACATTCCCTCATTTTATAAACATGCATGCAGGCTTTACTATGTAGATCCCTGAGTAACGCAGATCTGTTTTTCTCTACTCTGCAGGGTTTGTGTGGTGTTAATCCCACTCAGTGTCTCTCTGTGATCTACCGACGCCATGTGTTCGTACCAAAGCTATAAAACTAAGAACTAAAAAAACACTGAACGCCTTTTTCCTGGAACTGCAGAATAGAAACCACAGAGCCGCTGAAGTCAAGAGGAAGGAGGTGTGTTTAACTGCTGTGATGAAACAAAAAAACACCTTAATCACACAACACTGTGCAGAAGAATGGGACACGCATCGCTTCTGTGGCTGCTCTGTAAGTACCTCATGTACTGAATGTAAAATGTGCAAATGTTGATCTTGTTGGAGAGCAGTGGATCTGGGACACAGAGATGTTTGCAGCTACAGGGAGGAACGGATTAACAACTGGATTCCACTTTAATTATATCAGTGGTTAATCCGTGCACTTTACTGAGCTGGAACAGCTGCTGCTTCTCTTTAACTGAAGGTTTCACCAGATTCAAGCTTTTACTTCTTTAAACTCTTTAGAGTTCAGATTTTCAGGTTTTTGCTGCAGACAAACCACAGCAGGGTTTAAACGTCTACTTCACCGTCTCCTGCAAATCATGCTGTTATCTTATTGTTGTCCTTTTTTACCAATCTTACTGATGATTACCAGTCATACATGTGCTCTGTGGTCACAGGTCTTGGTAAGCTACATTTTTAAGCAATGACTCCCCCCGTTTTTATCTCTGTGTGTATCTATGTTGCAAAGAGTGGCACCTGCCAAGCCTTTAAATATATCAACTCATTTAATTGTCACTTATTCAATTTTCAGTCCAGGTTTCATGTCCAGATTAATTTTAGCTGGTAGTCACCAGTTTAAGTTGAGTGATTTGAATTTTTTTTTCTTCCAAATTTCAGATTGCGGCTTACTTCTCTTCTCGGTGCTGAGCTGCATAACCTATGGAGGTGAGTGAACTCATAATTTGGAATCCTAGAGATGTTAAATGTAAAAAACAAGTTTTTCTTCACAGAAAATAGATTTGACATCAGTATTTTTCCTTTTCTGAGTAATTTTTACATTAAAAAGTCTGCAGCGGTCAGGAAAATGCGTGCAATTAAAAACAGAGGAAAATTTGGGGAAATACACTCTTCGTGCTTGCTAAGAATTGGATTTTGAAACTGATACCATTACTCAAATAAAGAAATGTTCCAGTACATAAGTCACTACAGTTTAATAAAATAATGTGCACTGTTTTAGCTTCAGATTAACTTTTAGACTCAAGCATATGTTGCTTAAACTGGATTCATATGTTCTATCTGTCTTTGACCCTGCACCACAACAGACATCGGGATGTTTTTCTGTTCATTTGAAAAATCTATAATCTCTCACAGCTCGTCTGACTGTGAGTCCCAGCAGCTCTCAGTTCTTTGAAGGAGACTTTGTGTCTCTGAGCTGTGAGGAGGAC